GTATCTGGATATTAATGTGCACAGTGTTAATTGCTGCCATTTCCCCCTCCTGGACCACACTCCCCCATTAGTCCCTAATTAGCTCCCCTCCTTATGGCATTAGAAGCTCAAGTTCGCTGGTGCAAGCAGGGGTGTTGGTGATGCTTCCTGCACCGGTGGTGGTGTTCCAGGATTCCAGGGCATTAGATGGTCCATGGGCATCTCTGCTCCGGACACCAGGAGCCAGCACCAGTGCATCCACTGAAGCACCAAATTTAAAATCAAGACTGATCTGGAATTGGGGAGAATTTGGACAAATAAATATGAATCCCTGAATGTGAAGCCCCTGTCTTGAGTTAGCTGTGGAAGGCAAAATAGCTCAGGACTCGATGAGGAAATGCCTGGAGCYCATTAGAAGGGCCTGGGGATTCACGTTCTCAGGGACACCACACCTCTGACCCCTCGGGAGGCATGCCAGGTGGAGGCCAGCAGCCCCAGCAGGGAGCCCAAGGGCCTGGCTCCCTTGGGTTGCTCTGGTCCGGTGACTGTTTGGTTCCAGTGGAAATGGGAGGATCCCAGGTGCCTCCCCCAGGGCCCAGCCTGATCTGGGCAGCCCTGCCCTTCCCTCCCTCCTCTAGAGGAGGCCAGGTGCCCAGCACCTCCCCATGCAGCCTTACCCTGGGGAAGCTTCCATGTGGCTAACCCTCCACTGTGGCTTCCCAAAGCACCAGTCCACCTCCCAGATCCTCTGCCTTGACCACAGCCTGGGGTCCAGGTGGCAGGACATCTGTGAGTGGCTGTTGGGGCCCCCAGTTGAAACCCCCCATGGTTAGCGTCCACCACAGGGTCCCGTGCATTCCTGGCCTGCTCATGGACGGTCTTCACTTACCTGCTTCTCAGCCCCTAGTCCCTTGTCCTCGTCCTATCCTCTAACCAGAGCCTGCTCAGAACCCAGGAGGCCCTCACATTCAGGAGAGCCAGCAGGTACTACAGAACACCTGGAGAGCCCATCTGCCCCGCACTGGGAAAGCCTGCGGAGCCCTTGGAGGCTGGGGCAGCTGGCACCCACCTTGCCCTCTGCCTGGAGGCTGACTCTCCAAGGCCTCCAGCTTCTTAGTAGTTGGGACAGAAATGCCCTGTCCACRGTGGCATTGATTAAATGAGCCGATGCATTCTCCAAGCACCAGGTCTTAATTAACCGCTGCGCCTCAGTGAGCACTTCTCATTACCTCCTGGGTCCCGCAAAGGCTGTGCCATGCTGGGAGGCCTCGGGTTTCTCTCCGAAAACCTGGAGGGCAGGTGTTTTAGGAAGGTGAGGTTTGTCAGTGCCTCCCAACTAGTCTACTGGGAAGCTTTCCGAGAACACCCAGTTCTTCCCTACCTGTGGGGCTGGTCCTGAGCAGGGCTTCCTGGATGCAGCGCCCATGCCTGAAAGTTAAGGGGGACGTCAGCCAGAGAGGAGGAAAGGAGGCCGGGCGGGGGCTCTGAGGACAGGGGGTCTTGGTYGGAGCCCAGCCAGGCTTCAGACTGTGACTTGCACCAGAGAGACTTGGCCACACTTTTACCCCCACCCAGACAGTCGGGGCCTGCAGGCTTCCCAAGGGCACAGCCCATGCTCATGTGATCAGAGTGGGCGTCCTGCCAGTGAGGTGGATTGGCAGGGAGGGGCCCCAACGATGGCTGTGACCAGGGTCCTGGTTCCAAGTTGGAAGATTAAGAGGAAAGGAGTCCAGAAGTTAGGACTGAGGTTGGAGACTGAGGGTGGAAGGGAGCAGCCGTCTTCTGGGAATGAGGACTTGGAGGCCTGCGGCCAGGGACCTGTGCTCTAAGGTGTTCAGACAGAGAAGCAAAGCCCACACTGGACTCCCAGCCCAGGGCTCTAGAGGAGGGAACAGTCTGTTATCTCCTTGTACGGCCATGGGGCCTTACCTTGGGGTGTGGTGCCCAGGTCACAGGTGCTGGTGGGACCTCAGGGCAGGATGACCTTCTGACATGATGGCCATGCCAGTCAGTCTGTCTGCTGTGGCTAGACCACAGGAAGCAGTCCTTCTTCTAGGGAGACATATGAGTGGACAGATGGATATAGAGAACAAGGGACACTTCTAGAATTTCCTACCCAAGCCAAGTCCTTCAAAGGTCCWGAAGGAGAGAGAACTCCAGCATCACTGTTGCAAATGGACTGTCAGCTCCCGGGGCTTCCTSTCAGAGCTGTTTTCCATCACAGCCCAAATAGGAGGGCGTTTGAAGCCAGTGTGGGGGACTGGAGTTGGAGCTGGCCTGACTCTCAGCAGGCTCCCTCCCCTGCACAATAGTCCCCAAGGGTGCAGCCCAGTGGGGGGGTCTAGTGGGGTCCCAGCAAGCTATGCACATGGCCAGCCCTCCCCAGCCCTGCGTCCAGGGGAAGGAGCATGGCTCCCGTGAGGGGTTTGTGCTCCCTGCTGGCCATGCGGTCTAGGGAGTCCATGCAGCAGATGAATCCCGCATGATGTTCAGCACTGCGTCACCACCTCGGGCTCTGCACTCAGCAAAGCCCTCAGTGCCAGCTGGTCTCCCTGTGGAGGCCTGCAGCCTCCCTCCAGGCCCCACGGGGCTCCATTTCTCCTGACCGTCTCCCAGGGCAGAGGCCTGCCTGGCCTGCGAACAGGAAAGGGACCTGACCCCTTGGGTCAGGGTCCTGGTTCAGTTCATGGATCTTGTCTTCATCTTCTAGCCCCCGGCACAGGACTGGTCAGTGGGAGGCGGGTCCTGGCCTGGAGCACCAGGCTCTTCGGCCCCAGTTCCATCTCCCCTCATGAGGTGGACATCCCCCTCACCGACAGGGAAGAGGGGGTGAGGTCCTCTCAGGGTCCCCAGGAGGTCGAGGGCACGCTGGCCAGGAAGGGGAGCTGCAGTCTTCTTTGCTGTGGCCAGTGTTTCTGGGTGCACTGCCCAGGGCCTGGGTGCTGCATGCTCGGGCTGGGCCTCTGGGGACAGAGCCACATGTTGGTCTGCGCGCCTGGGCTCCTCCAGTTCTGGAGGCCAGAAGCCACTAGCACTGGCTGATGAGAGTGTGTGCTTGGTTTCTGCTGCGGGGGTGGGTGTGGCCTTGGGCCTGTCTCCATGGCCAGGCAGTGCTTAGCTGGGAGGGCTAGGGAAGCCCACTCCAGACCCATCCCTCCCTGGCTCAGTCCAGAGGCGCCCAGAGCACCCAGGGCCTGCACTGGAGGGTCCTTGTTAGGACAGGGAAGGGAGGGCCTGGAAGATGGTGCCCGGCTGCCCAGGGCGGGCTCCTCCAGCTGCCTTTCCAGCTTCCAGTGGGCATCTGGGCTCCTGGGCTCCTGGCCTCTTATCCACCTTCAGGCRGCTCGCTGGCTTCTTCCTGTCTCTCTGCCTCTGTGTGTGGTAGGTGCCACGTCTGCTTCTGTCCTCAAGCCTCCCCTCCTGTGTCACTCTTGCAAGGACAGCTGTGGTTACATTTGGGCCCACCTGGATCATCTGGAACTCTTCCCACTCACGATCTCACCACATCTGCAGAGTCCCTTTGCTGAGTCAATGATTCATGCTTGGGTTCTGGGGAAAGTCCCTTCCTAAAGATCACGGCACCACCAGGTGATGCACAGGGGAGTCTGGGTTCCRACCTCTATGAGCCCTGCAAATGCAGCCAGTTGAGGCCAGCTAGGGTGGCCCTGGCCATGAGCTGCCCCCAACTGCTCTAGGGGTGCTGCAGAGTGAGCTCCTTACTTGTTGGTCTGCACACCTGGACCAACAAGTAAGGAGATGTGGACATCTTTGGGACCATCGTTCTGTCTACCACACCCTGGAACCCTGCTTGGTCAGGATAGGAGTCCAGTAGATTTTCTCAGGGTTATTTCTTGGAGGGCCCTGATCTGCCYGGAGGTCATCACATGTGGGCTGGGTCCCCGAGCCCTCTGTGCAGCCCACAAGCATGGCTAGCCTAGCAAGGGTGAGCATGGGAGATTTTCTCAGTGCAGGACAGAGAGACCTATGCTGGCACTGACCCAGGCCAGCTGCAGACACTGTGTGAAGCTGCAGGGTGAGGTGTGAGCGAGATGCTGGGGCCTGGGCAGTRTCAGTGCTCCCCTTTGGTCAGGGGTCCTTTCTTGAGGGAACTTTAGCCGGATGGTTGCACATGTGGCTGACCCCTGCCTATCGCCCCAGCAGCTGAGAGGTGGACAGAAAATCACAGCACCAGGCCACTCAGAGGCTAAGGAAGCTGGGGCCCAGGGACACCTGGTCCAGGAGAACCTCACAGAGGCCCAGACAAGAAACAGGACTGGGCCAGTAAGGAGCTCACTCTGCAGCACCCCTAGAGCAGTTGGGGGCAGCTCATGGCCAGGGCCACCCTAGCTGGCCTCAATTGGCTGCATTTGCAGGGCTCATAGAGGTTGGAACCCAGACTCCCCTGGGCATCACCTGRTGGTGCYGTGATCTTTAGGAAGGGACTTTTCTCCTCTCTCTCTTCTCTTTTTAAATTCTTCATCTTTTCTGATAACTCTCCGAGAGTGAGGGGTTTGATGATTGCAGAKGATGCCTTTCAGATTATTTAGATTTCCATACCCGAAAATCCCATTTCATGGGATTCTTTGTTCTCCTGAAGGTGAGCAGGAGCCGGGCTCAGACACTGGTGGAGTGGCCCTTGAGAGAGTGAGCTGTGACTTGGGGGCTCCTCCATCGCCCTGAGGTGCCAAACCAGGGGGGTTTAGGGAAACCATCTCCAAGTTACTTCCTCCCCGCGAGAGGTGCCCCAGGGCACCCAGGTCTGAGCGGGAATGACATTAAACAGAGCCCCACCTGGGGTGGCCTTGGGAGCTGCTTGCCTGCCCTGAGCTTTGGGGTCCCTGGCTGGGAGGAGAGCAGGCCTGGGGACATTCACCTGCTAAKGAGACATGTTCATGCTTCACATGAATGACCTCACCCACCTGTGGCTTCCGGTCATGAAGGGCACTAGGAGTCAGGGCACACGCTAGTGGCTTTGGTCTTCGTGTCTTTGAGAGTGACTGAGGTGAGTCTCGGCTCCACAGGTGCGTGGTCTGGACAGGCGATGACCGGGTCTTCTTCTTCAACCCCACGATGCAGCTGTCCGTCTGGGAGAAGCCCKTGGACCTGAAGAACCGTGGGGACCTCAAGAGGATCATCGAGGACCCCCCCCACAAGCGCAAGCTGGAGGCCTCAGCAAGTAACTAAGGGGTGCTGCGTCTCTGCGTGCTGGGGCCGGGTGTCAGGGGCGTGCGGTGACAGTGTGCTTTTCCTGGTTARCGGGGGAGTGGTTACGAGGGGTCACGTTCCCGGCATGGGGCGCAGTTGTTGACATTTTCAGGGCAGAAACTTGTCCCCTCTAGGTGCTCRGCTCCGGCTTCTCTGTGCACTGGGTGTGGTGAGTACGGGGAGGCCACCCACTGCACCACATTCCTGTCTAATGTTCTGTTCCAAAGGCCTGCTGAGCGTCACTGCAGACAGTGCCCTTCGTCTGCCTCGGGCTCCCTGAGTCTGGCGCTCAGTCCCTACAGTGCGGCAAGGGCAGCYCATGTCAGCAGGGGCCAGGACCCTCTTCCCTTAGAGACTGGGCTGCTGGGCGGGAGGCGGCTGATTGTGAGGAGGCCCTTGTAGATCTTGTCTCACCAGGACTCAGAGAAGAACGCTCAGCATTTTCAGAAGGCTGCTTTCCGGTTAGAGCTGATACATTTTTTATGAACTGCCGTGCTGGGGAAGCCCTGCTCGCTGAGAGCGTGGCTTAAATTAGCAGCGCTCCACCAGAGAGGTGCCTGAGAGGAGCTCCCTGCCACCCCGAGGCGGGCATGCATGGCTGAAAGGCCAGGCCAGTGGACATGGGGTCTTGATCCCCTGAAAGAGGGTCTTTGATTAATTCTGGGAGTTWTTTTATGGGGTTTGTGATGCTATTTTTCATTTCACATTATATGGGGCTAACACAGCATGACACCAGCCTGCACCTGTCAAATCCAGAGGCCTTTAGAAAATGGTGTTACTAAAGTTTTCTTTTACCAGTGCCAAGAGGTGTGGACATGTGCTCTTGCCAAGTAGTATTATCCTTCTAAGATTTGAGAGATGACAGGTTTATTATTTATTTCACTTAAGATGCTGAGAACATCCTCCAGACAGCTTGAGTCAAAGATGTCCTAGGTACATGTTTAACTGTAAGATACGTAAAAATGGCCCTGGGTTCAGGGACGATAGCAATAGATTTGGTGATTCTCTTTCCTCCTTTGATAAAGTGGCATCCAATATTAAAAGAGATGTTTTGTGTCCTGAAAGAGGCTCAAAAACCATTATAGAAATCAGTCTCTCAAGGTCTTCCTTGTGGACAGAACAGTGCATAGCTTGGGAAGATTGTGAGAACTTCCAGGCCTAGGAGAAGCCTTAAGGCCCAGTTTATCCTAAAGGTGATTTATCCCCCGGCAGAGGGTGAGTGAGCGGGCAGACTCCCTGCTCTCTTCTTCAGCTTGCATGCTTCCAGATAATTGGATGTGATTTCMTTTTTTCCCCAAAGAATTAGTAGAAATAAGAAAGAAATGAACTTGTTAAAGGCCATGCATGATGGCTCTCCCTTTTCTACCATCTGGACATCAGCCGGGTCTGAGCAAAAGCAGGGTTCTCTGCCGTCTCAAGGCCTGGGGGCCTGGGAGTGAAGGACAGGATCCTGCATTGCCTGCCGGAGGTCCATGCTCCCTTTCCCTCTGTTAACAGGACCCTCATTTCATGCTTATAATAGAGAGCTGAGCCTTAAATCAGCCCAACTCAACTGGAAAGACCTCATGAGTTTAAATTTATGCCCATGGTATTCTATCTCCCACCAACTTTACCCTGGTGGACCTTCGACTATTCTCTGCAGATAGACGAGAGAATACAAAATTGTATGTAGTTGTAAAAACATTTTTTTTGTCCACAAATTAATTTTATTCTATAACTTGCAAACTGGTTATTGTTTTTCCTCCAGTACCCATATTTTCCCTCCCTTCTTCCCTCCCCCTMTTCCCCTTTCTCTATTCTACTGGTCTGCCTTTCACTTATTTTTCTATTTTTACTATTTTGGGAGGGGGTACCAGGGATTATACTCAGGAACACTTGACCACTGAGCCACATCCCCAGCCCTATTTTGGATTTTATTTAGAGACAGAGTCTTGCTGAGTTGCTTAGTGCCTCACTTGTGCTAAGGCTGGCTTTGAACTTGTGATCCTCCTGCCTCAGCCTCCTGCGCTGCTGGGATGACACCTGTAATCTGTTTATTTCTACTTGGTGCCTTATAGATATCCATAAAGGTGGAGGTATGCTATGCCATACACACAGTGTGATTYTGTCATGTTCATTGGCATTACCCCCTTTCCTGTCCCTCCTCCCCCACCTTAATCTCCTTCGACTCCACTGATTTCCCTCTGACTTCTTGATATCTCACCGCCCTTTCCACGCCTTATTTTGCTCTAGTTCCAGCTTATGAGAGAGAGCATCCAACYCTGGGTTTTCTGAGTCTGGCTTCTTTCACTCAGCACGATGTTCTCTCATTCCATCAATTTACTAGCAAATGCCACAACTGCATTCTTCTCGTGGCCAAGTGAAACTCCATGGTGTATACATACAAACATTTTCTTGATCCATTCATCTGCCGGCCCCTGGGCTGGATCCACAACTTGGCTACTGTGAATTGCACTGCTAAATCATTAATGGGGCTGCCTCACTATAGTATGCTGATTTTAATTCTTKGTGGATAAATACTGAAGAGTGGGACAGCTGGGTCATTTGATTTGATTCCTAGTTTTTAGCGGAATCTCCGTACTGCTTTTCAGAGTGGTTGGACTAATTTGCAGTCTCACCAACCTTGTACCTTTCCCCCATATTCTCACCAGCATTCATTATTAATTGTATTCTTGACCTTGCCATTCTGACTGGAGTGAGACGGAATTTCAATGTAGTTTTAATTTGAACTTCCCTGATGGCTAGAGATGTCGAACATTTTTCATATATTTTTGGCCATTTGTGTTTCTTCTTTTGAAAAGTGTCTGTTTAGTTCTTCTGCCCATTTATTAATTGGGCCATTTGTTTTTTGGTGTTAAAATTTTTGACTTCTTTACATATTGTGGATATTCATCTTCTATGGAGGAACAGGCAAAGRTCTTCTCCCATTCTGCAGGCTCTCTCTCTACACTCTGTTTCCCTTGTTGTGTAGATGTTTTTTTTTAGTCTGATGGCCTTCCACTTGTTGATTTTTTAAAATTTTATTTCTTGAGCTTTAGGGGTCTTGTTAAGGAAGCCAGTGCTATACCAATATGTTGAAGTGTTGACCCTGAGTTTTTCTTCTACCAGTTGCAAAGTTTCTGTTCTAACTCCTACAACTTCCATCCACTTTAATTTGTCTTTCGTGCAGGATGAAAAAAAGGATCTAGTTTTTCCTTTTACATAAGGATATCTAGTTTTCCCAGCACCATTTGTTAAAATGATCATCTTTTCTCTTGCATATCAGATGACTGTCCCAACATGGGGATTGTCTCTACATTTCTATTCTATTCCCTTGGTTTCATGTCTGCGTGTTGCTGTTTTTGCTACTATATCTCTGTAATAGAATTTAAGATATATTGTGCTGTGTCCTGCATTGTTCTTCTTGCTAAATAGGGTTCCTTTGGCTCTTCTGGATCTGTTATTCTTCCAAATTAATTGTATAACTGTTGGTTTTTTTTTTCCCTAGTACTGTGAAGAATGTCATTGGTATTCAGAATGGGGATTGCACTGAGTCTGTATATATCTCTTTTGGTATTATGAACATTTTGACAATATTAATTCTGCTGTACAAGAACATGGGAGGTCTTTCCATCTTCTAAGGTCTTCTTCAATTTATTTCTTCAGTGTTTCATAATATTCATTGTGGGGGTCTTTACCTCTTTTCTTATATTAATTCCCAAGTATTTTATTAGGTCATTGTGAATGGGACAGTTTCCCTAATTTCCTTTTCAGAAGATTCATTATAGGGGTTTTATATTCATAAGTTATTGATTTATTAATGTTGATATTGCATTCTGCTACTTTCCTGCAAAGTCTTCTGGTGGAATTTTYTGCATCTTGTAGACATAGGATCATATCACCAATAGACACAGGTAATTTGACCTCTTCTTTTCCTTTTGGGACCCCTTGACCTTCCTTCTTTTGCCTGATTATTCTGAGTTTCAAGGGCCATGTTGAAGAGGAGTGGTGAGAGTGGACATCCTTGTCTTGTTCCTGAGTGTAAAGGAAATGTTTCAGGTTTTCTCTGTTCAGTATGATGTTGGCCTTGGGTCTGTTTCTACCACCTGGTTACAAAACTATTTTTAATATTACCTCCTCTTATAAATAGAGGAAGAGATGGTCTTAAAACATTATTTTTTGTTTAGATGATTCTTAAAGATATGCAAATGACCATGACCTCAACTTTCAATGTCCAGTTGCCAGGGTAGAATTGGTCCTGAAGAGCATAATTTCTATTTCCTAAAATTCATCTGGAGAGTTTTGCAGCCAAACAATTAGGGCAGAAGTTGTTTCTGGAGGATTAATTAATGATGAGGGAGCTGAGTGGATGACCTCCAGCCAGTGTGGCACCGTCCTGACGGTCATTCATCACGACTCATCGAGTGCTTTGACCCTCATTATTGCAACACGCTCTGGGGAGACTGTGATAAGCTCTTGGTGGAGAATTTTGCTTTCACATTTTTTTCATCTATGAATCATTCCAGATTTCAGGCTATTAATTCTGGTTTCTAGTCTGAAATGCCACAATTAAGCATTCCAGTTGACCCCCATTATTTTTCAAGAGACAAATGGAATAAGTGGATTTTATAGATGTCCACTAAATGGACTGCTGTTGGGTTTGCACAGTGTGTGGATGGGCAGCACATGGTATTAGGAAGTCTATGGGTGGGATCCAGAACTGCCCAGAGCACTAAGCTGCTCATCACCCAGCAGATTAGGGAAGAAGCYGCTTGTTCATTCTGTTAGCATTGCTGAGGGATTCAAGTGAGGGCCTGAATTATTTTCTAATTACCTTGCAATGCATCCAGATTTTTTATGGCTCTGTAGCTTTGCTGTTAGTTGAGAATAAATGCCTGTTGAACTAAAGTGAAATGAGAAGCACCAGGCTTCACCCCAAGCCCATCCATTACATGCCCTGCCATTCTTGGGGAGATTACCAGCTCTTCACTG